ACCATTCCCCTCATCAAACTGTTTTAGAGGGGCTCTCATTATGACCTCGATCTCCGCAGCCAGATATCAGGGCGGTCTGCTAGAGAGTCTATAGGACACATTTCCTTATTCTTAAATAAAAAAGACACAAAATAAATGGTTCTTTTGCTTCTTCTGGGTGTTATTTATTTTGCATGGGATGCCTGGAAATAAGGCAGCCATCTTATTACTGTGAGAGATGCTAGCTCAGGATAACCCACGTACTACAGATGGCAGAATGGAAAGATGCCAATAAAGCCTCCCTCAAGGCTTGTGACGCAACATAATTTGTTTAAAAAATTGTTTAACTTCTCAATGTTGGCTTTTCTGTTTCTTGCAGCCAACAGCACCTTAGATTACATAATGCTAACTGATAAGTTTTGTTCAAACTACATTTGCATATTCATGTGTATCTTATAGTAACAACTTTAACTATTCCTAAAAAGATAATACATTTATTTAACAAATTGGAAAAGGTTCTGGAGAGAAGGGAGCTAGTACAGACCTTGATATAAATAAAAGGAGTCTTTTTATTTAGCGTCCCTTTTGCCCCCAGGCTAGTTCTCCAGTTTTATGAAGATGGAAAGTAGCCCACAAAAATGGTAGCTTTGGAAAAGAGGGAAAAATACTAGCAGGAAAGGGGTAGGGAATTATTTCAATTTGTTCTTAGATATATCTTGGACAAATACATCTTTCATGAAAAATTCTAAGACCCAGGGGCCTGAATGATTCTCATCTCTTGAACTAAGCAAAAAGGAATACCTCTAATGGAGAAACTTCTAGAATTGTGCAGAATTTTTTTTTTGGTCTGAGTCATATTTGTTTTAATATCATTCTTAGTGGGCATTTGCTTTTTCTATAGCTTCTCAAAAGACTGGCCTATCGCACTTACCACATATGTATTTTGAAAGTACTTATTGTTGAAGTTCATGATCTGAATTCTAAAGTTACATGAATGATTACCTGTAATGTGTTAAGTAAGTGGTGGATAAGCTGAGACACTTTGCTGACAAGATGATTCTGATTAAGAGGCACCAGTCGGCAAGCTTGGACAAGAAGAGCACTGACGTCCTACCAAAAAAAAAAAAAAAGACAATAGAAAGGGGATATACCTATTAGTCACATGAAGACGCCCCACCAAAAAAAAAAAACAACACAGCCAAATGGGAATAAAAAGTGACTGTTCACACTCAAAATGGGGAAGGATGAAACTTGAGGTAGAAAAAAGGGGGTAAAAATGAAATGAAGTACAAAACTAAGATGTGCTAAAAAAGAAGCAAAAGAATCAATATGGCTTATGACAGGCTAAAGACTCCTAAAAAAGACTATACATATGCAGAGACAGTACAATTAAATAACTAAAGAAAGGCTTCCATAATATAAAAGCACATACTTAGGTTAAAAATATCAAGAACTAGCAATCTAGATTTTCAATGCCAGTGGGAAAATCAGAAATGATGCTTGGATGAATTTAATGTAAAATTAGGAAATTCGAAAGAAAAAAAGAGGAATCTATTTGCAAATCGGACTATTCATTCACCCATTGATGTTTACTGAATGAAAAGACTCTCAGTACCTACTAGGTGTCAAGAAGTATGTTAGGTCTTTGCACTCCAAAGGTAAACAAACATATTTCAGAACCCCTAAAAGCTCACAATCTAGTTAGGAAGACAGAAATTCTCACAAATACTTAAAAGAGAATTAAGTGCTGAAAGAATTAAGTACAAAGTCTGGAGAAATGGTAATTAGGAAGGTCTTATGAAGGTGATTTTTAAGCAGAATCTGGAACGATTTGAAGGATGAGTAAATACCTGCAGGCAGACAAGGCAATGAAAGACACTGCAAGCAAAGGGAATGAAGGGTACAAAAACACGGAATACCAGTAGGTATGAAACACCAGCAGGTGCTTGAGGAACAAGTTTGAAATGACTGCACACAGCACAAAAGGAGTGACAGGACAGGAAACTGAAATGGCACATATTTTTGGAGCAAAATTATAAAATTATACAAATTAAAGTCTCCACTACTCCTTTAATTCCACTCCACTCCCTAGTGATGCATATTATTACTTTGTTGTGAACTCTTTGTAACTATAAGTGTATATAAATTTTTAAACTTCCCACCTATATTAATCTCATACTGTATGAACTGTTCTATAACTTGCTTTTACCATTTACCAATATGTGTTGAAGATCTTCCCCAATCAAAGTTTTACTTTTCTAATCAGAATTTTTTCCACTAAAGAAAAGCTCACTCTGGCAGCAGAGCAAAGAATGGTCTAGAGAAGGGCTGGACTGGACCCAGGATAAATTAGAGGAGACCAGAAGAATAGTCCAAGAGTCATCTTGCCTGAGGGCCTAAGGGATTGGCAATGGGAATAAGAGAGGAGGGGATGGACTGAGAAATATGAGACAGATTCGAAGAAATCCAGATTGGATAGGATCTGGAAGGAAGGAAAGAGAAAGAACCAGTTTGTGCCCTTGTGGGTTGGCAGGCTGTCTATGTAGGGGAAAAGAACAGGTTGGGAACGGCGTGTGTGTGTAGGGATAATATACTCATTTTTAGAAACCGTCTGGTTTGAGGTGCCTGTGTGCACCAGAAGGCAGTGGTATGATGGGGTCAAAAGATTCAGGGAATTCAGTAAGCAGCACTGTAGGCTTGATGTATGTGAACAGTACTCAGAGTCAGCATACTTCTAAAGAGGCACAGAGGGCAGAAATAGTATGGAGAAACAGAAAATGGCAGGCATTGTGACAGACTTAGGTTCCAATTCTAGTTCTGCCTTTTGCCAGCAACATGACATTGGATCTTTATGAGCCTCAGTGTTTGTTTGTTTGCTTGTTTTTTCCCAGTAAAATAGACCTAATAATACTCATATTCTAAGTTCCTAGAACAGTGCACGGGAAAGTACAGTATGTGGTCCGTGTACCACGTACTCAATAAACTGTAGTAGTGAATCTTATATACAAAGTATTCTGGATGCAGGGAGTGGAGAAGGGAGACGGGAAGGTGGTACCAGAGATGACACCTGCGTTGGTATCACAACGTAAGTCATCTAAGTTGGGTTTTAAAAATACGAATTTACGAAGAACTGCAGGGTCTTCCAGATAGAGGGAGAAAGGGAATGTGCTACGGCTGGAGGGAGCCAACGAGCCTGGGACTAAGTAATGCCAAGTGGAAGCGAGAAAAGCCGGGAGAGGCAGGCGGGAGCTACCAGCTAGGGTCCCTGAGGGGTGGGGGCGGGGCCAGCAGGCGCGCCCGGAGTCCTCCCCGCCCCGCACACCGCCTACCTCCGGGGCCACGTCGCCGCCCTCGCTGTAGTTCTCGGAAATGAGCTGGTCTAGGAGCAGGTGGATCTCGGTGCGTGCGGAGTTGCTGTCATCCGGACGCAAGGCGCAGAGCCTGGCCGACAAGCGGCGGAACCCAGTGCCCAGCTCGTGGGGTGGCTCCCGCGGCGCCTCCCGGGGCGACCCGCCCAACAGGGAGCCTGCAACTTGCACCACCGCCATCTTTCCTACGTAGAACAACAGGGAAGTACTTCCGGGGCATCCCTGTCCCCTCACGCCAGTCCCGGAAATATCTTATTTGGTCCAGAATCCAACGTAATAGAGTTCCACGATTACCACCTCCTCAGACTGTTGCCCTACAAATACTCATCAGAAATTAGCTTGGAGACTTTTTCGCCGCCCACTTCTCCTAGATCCCTGACTGAAGGAGACTATCCTTCCAGAAAGTTTGTTCCTGATCAGGCCGACATTCCTGATTAGCACCAGCGATTCAGATTCTGGCCGGGGTTGGTGAGGAGCCGTTGTGGATGGCAGTGGCAGAAACTGCAAGTTCTACGACATTCCTCCACTTTTCTTACATCGTATTACAGCCCCTGATTTTTTCCCCAGGCACAAAACCACACAATAAATGTTAAATTTTCCAGTAGTCTTTGTAGCTGGCTGTGAATCCTGTGGATCTTGAGACACTTCATCACACAAGAAAAGTAATGTTGGAGTTCAAAGTGAATCATGTAAACTATAACCTGCCAAAGGGTGACCTGGTTGAGATTGGACACCCCAAGATTTCCTGAAACTTTAAAAGCAAGATGCTGGAAAAGAAAAATAGCCATTTCAAAAGCTGTGAACATTCATCAATTACTCAATAGGTGAAAGCTTGAAATTAAATTCAGGCAGACTGGGAAAACCTTTGAGTTATGCAAATATGAGGCAAGTTCTCACCCATGGCTCTTAGGGAAAACCTTGTAGCCACCTGAATGTATATTTTATATCCTGAGAATAAAACACTTCTGTTTAGCAATGAAAATTGAATGTTTGCTTGAGAAGAGCTAATTCTTTGAAGATTTTGGGCTTCTTTGGGGTTAACTATTTTTTTTTTTGTTTGAATTTAGATTTCACTATGGTTGTATATTATTGTTTATTCTTGGAATGTGTGTATATGTATGTTATGTATATGTGTGTATTTGTGATATTCAAGCATTTTGCTCAGACATCAGGAGCTGAGACCTAGTCACTCATGTTTTAGTTTGAGTTCTCCTAAAGCAGAGCCACGGATGAGGTTGGTATGTGGGTGATTTATTCAAGAATGAACAAAGAAGAAAGGAGAATCAAGACAAATGTGTGCTGTTGAGTTGGCCATTGCAAGGCATGAGTGATTGCTCACACCTCAGGACTTTCTGACAAGCCTTATTGGATGCTCTCAGAACCCGTCTCCTGAGGTATGGAAGGGGGAAGCATATATCTGTCAGCCTTTGACCTCTATTGTCAAGTGTTGCCCCAACAAGCATGAATTCTCCGGTCTTCTGAGTTGAACATGCATCAGTATGTGGTGGTTCCTGCATAAGTCTCTTGTATAATCAGAGAAGCCCTGAGGCAAAAGTGAGAGGTGTGGGATACTAGGGTACAAGTTCTCAGTAAGACTCTGACAAGTTATCTCATGCTAAGCTGGTAGATAGATGCCTGAAATAAACTGATTGCTGTAGCAATGCTTAGCATAAGAGTATAAGGTGAAGAGTATCTAAAGCAGTGCATAAGAGATGTCCAACACACTGGGCTAGAAGGACATGAGGCCTGGTCATCACCACAGAAGAGGTGGAGTGAAAGAGAGTATAGAAAGGATTTGAGTTTAGTGTGGCTCATCTTAGGTTGCACTGGGATTATAGTTAAGACCCTGACACCTAGCTGCTATATGACTTTGAGCAAATTACTTAATTTCTCCAAACGTCAGTGTCCTTACACGTAAAATGGCAATGGTAATAAGCAGTCACAAAGTTCCTGGAGGGATAAATTAGATGATGCTTGTGGAAAATATAACACAATCCTTGTTGCATAGCAAGTGTTCAACAAAGATCGTCTATCCCCCACCTCTTCCTCCTCCTCTTCATCACCCTTGCCCAAATAATTCAAGTAGTGTGGGTACTTTTAACAATGCTGATTTATTAAAAAAACAAAAAAACTTTTTTTCCCTCCACCACGTCCCTCATAATCTCCATTCGCAGGTCCCCATTTTCATCTGTCTTTCTGAGCAAGGCTCTCCAAACAGTCACATCTCTGAAGATAAGGAACTCTAGGAAGGGATGAGCAGTTATTAGAGAAGGATGACCCTTAAGATAAGTTTTCATCTGGGAAATGGACAAAAAAAATGTGTGACACCTGAATCCATAGAAAACAATTGAGAGGCAAAAGTTCCCAGTTCTGGGACTCAATAAGCCCCTGCATGGAGATAGCAAGGCCAAAAGGATCCCAAGAATTGTGGGTGGATTGGACAAATAATACATTTGGAACACAAATGGGTTATTTTTAAAGTATATGTTGATTCTGTTGTGTTTGATACAACTTAATTTATAATTAAGCGTTTTTTCATAGTAGCTTTTAATTATGCTTTTTAAATTTAATGGTTACTGAAAATGAAGAAATTATCATGTGAGGACCCTGAAATAATTTTACAGGAAAGGAGCTTTCATGTGTCAATATGGCAGTGTGCATCCGAGGCTAAAAATGAGCATGCTCTTTGGTCATTAATTATACTTCTTAGAATTTATCTTAACAAAAATTAATAAGGGCATGTATACCAATTTAATATTCATTACAGCCATATTAATAATATAAAAATAAGAAACTAAATGTGTGTTAATTGAGATTGGTAAGTATTTAAGCATCAGTGTTGGCATTAAAAATTATTCACTAGCTATTTCTAAGTGAAATAATCAAGCAATAAAAATAGGCACAAGATTATCTCATTTTTATATTATATATTTGTGTGTGTGTTTAAAATATTCACTGAAGTGTTAAGCAGATGCCACTTGGGGATGGAAGATTATGAGTGATTTTTATCTTCTTTTTGATCAAGTAATCTGATTTCTCACCAGGATATACTAGGTAATTAAATGATTTTAAAGGTTTGGAAATCAAAATCCTGTGATAGTTGCTTCCTTTGGGAGGATGGGTCAGTAAAGAGGGAGAGGCCACAGAGAGACAGGCTTCTGTCCCACCCATATCTGGAAAGTCCCATCAGAGCCAAGTGTACAGCCTGTCTGGCTTGGACAAGGTGTGAGGCAGCAAGAAAGTACCTGATTTTTTTTCACTTGTCTTTAGTCTGAAACACAGATGTGGCCACACCCATTGCTGACACAGTGGTCCCCTGGATCACAGTCCCAGTCACCTCTGCAGAGCTCAACGCAGGCGCCTGCATTAAAACAGACCAGCTGACTACAGCCATGCTTTAGGCACAGGTGCTAGAGAAAACAGCCCTTGATTAAGGAGCCAGTTTCACTTTTTTCTTTTAATTCAATGTATAATGTAATTTAAATGATTACTTGAAGAATAATGCTCATTAACATCTTATATTTTTCAATTAAAAACAATGCATTCAGATAATCCCAATAAAGCAAGGCCTACTTTAAAGATATGTAAGAAGGGGGCCTAGTGGGATGTCTACGATGTACTTTCACACTTCAGAGAAAACATCATCCCTCCATGTTTCTACTAGCTGTTGATTTACAATGAAAGGGTTAAAGACTTCTTGTCCTCACTCATGGCATTTAGTCACTCATTATATCTGTTGATTTCTTCCTATGTATAAAGCATAGAGGTAAGTTATTCAGGAAATACAAAGATGTAAGATAGGGTCATTACCTTCAAGCAGCTTAGAGTCTAACAATGGAAACAAGACTTATGTTTAAAGTACTAAAAACGAAGCAGTGTGAGACAAGTGTACTGAGAGAGGTATATTCAAAAGACTAAAGGGACTCAAAAGAGAGACATTACGTCCAATCAGATTAATCAGAAAAGATGATTCTTGAAGTACAGAAATCTTTTTATGGCAGAATTGAAAGGGATAGTAGAGTTTATGAGAAAAGAATTGCTAGCAAAAGTTCATAAGGGAAAAATGCAATGGGGCTGGGACAAGGGGAGGTACATGAGGTACGTTGGGTACAAAATTTAAGGAGGCCCTTGCACAACCTTGAGAGTAAGCACCTCCTTAAATTTTGTGCCCTCGGTGCTTCACCTGCTTCACTCCTCACCCTGAAATACAAGGAATACAGAAGGAATGGCAAATGGAAGGCTGGATAAGAATTAAGGAACAGTTGGAAATTAAGCAGGAAAAGTAGGTAGGGACAAAGTTGCAGAGGACATATCTTGAGGACCTGAGGAGTTTGGATTTCATTTGGTAGGCCCAGAGGGGGATATACTGTTTACTTACAAAGGTTATTCTGATGTGAGAGCACAGAACAAACCACGATTCAACAAGCAAGCAACTTTCAGGAGGAAGAGAGGGGCGGGGAGAGTTGCTGGGAAGCTATTGCATTGGCCCAAGCATGGGGTAACCAGGGTTGGAAATACAGTGTGGCAACTGGGGTGTGAAAAGGAAGAAACATGTGCAAGAGACAATGTCAAAGAATGATGGCATTTAGCAACCAGTTAAATGTAGTGGGGGGAGAGCAAAGAAGAGAGAGGAATAAGAGTTGAATCCAATAATATTTAGGGAGAAGAAAGAGATACAGTGAAGAAAATCCAGGGGAGAAGAAAGTTTGAGGACTGACGGAATGGCAAAAAATGTCAGATGCTGCAGAGGTTAAGAGTTTGGCTACTGAAGAGAGTCAAGAGATTTGTCAGCAGGACTAAGGAGAGAAGATTCAGCAAAGTGATGGGGGCAGCAATGGAGACTATACTCAGTCTTCAGGGGGTTAAGGGAAGAAGTGTGGGGCAATAAGGGCAGAGAATTGATTACTCCTTCGAGACTATCAATAGTAAAAGGAAGAAATTGATATGATTACTGAGAGAAGAAGAAACTGGTAGAGAGAGAGATGCCGGGGAGATGGAGGATGGCTGATGAGGGGGCAGAAAGGGAGGAATAGAGGAGAGTCCAGATGGAGGGGGGACCCAGGGAAAGGATGGGAGAAGGTAGAGGCAAAAGAAGAGAGGTTCTGCAGTCAAGGTGGGTCCCCGGCAACGACTCCTTAACTAGAATGTCTTTCTTTCTCTTATTTCTTCCCCTCCTCCCCACTGCACACACTGGCCTCTGATGTTCTACTTGCTGGCTCCCTCATTCAAAGAAGAATGGAGCTGCCTTCTGTCTGGACTCACCCAAAAGTTGCAGTGGTCTCACTGCAGCCTGAAGCTCCAGTACCTCTAGGCTGAGGGTGATTAGGATCACCAGGAGGAGAAAGCCTGCCAACTTCATCGTGCTATTGGAAGCCTTTGGTAAAAATGCAGCAGGACTGCAAACAGCTGCAATTTATGCTCTTCCGCCCACTGAGCTGAAATGCAAGGCCAGGGGTGGGACTAGGGGTGGGACTTAAGCCCTGCCCAGAAACTGATAGTTTTGGAGAACACACAATAAGTGTATCCTGGACCATGTCACATTGTTACCTAAACAAGTCTCTGAGCCAAGGGAACACCCTCCTCTAAGAAATAAGACTCCTAAACCAGGAAAGCGATGACTGAGAAAGGGAGTCAGAGGTGGTAACTACCTTTTATTATGTACTTAAATTCATTCATTCATTTTTCAACACAAGTATCAAATGTCTTCTCTGGGCCAAGGATGTGCTAGGCATGAAGAATATAGAAATTACAACCTAAGTACTGAGTGCTAGCTAGCGAGGCTACAGGAGGTTCTTTCACTTCTCCCTAGCATTTCTGGTATTGATGGCAGGGAGAAGCGGTAGGCGAGACAGCAGGGGCATGCCTTGGTCACCTGCAGGTGGTAAGAAGGTAACCTTAGTTCTCCTTCTGGCTTGGCCCGAATCCCTCCACTGCTGGGCACCTAGGCGGGTGTGCTATCTTTGCCTATTTGATATACGTAATTTTCTTGGCATAGAGTTTCACTTCATCTTGTCCACCTTCATCTCTGAGAACCCTCCCAAAATACATATGAAACTCTTCCAGGATTTCTGTCATCAGGCAGCACTGGGGTGGGCGTGGAATGGGGAGTGAGATCTATTTTCCCCACTTCTTGTAGACACTCCTAATCTAGATGAGTGATTTTCTGAAACACTTGTTTTTTGGAAGAATACGCCCTCTTCCCTTCCCAGTGGCAGTGGGGGTGGAGGGAGGCATGTATAGCTTTTGGCCATGAATGCTGTCATAAAATGTCTTACTCAATGTGAGATAAGTGTGACTGGACTGATTGAGAATGGCAGGATCAGTTTGCAGCCTCTTTAAAAGACCCTGGTTCCTAACTCTGGGGCTACAGAAAGGGGTCCTTCCTGTTATGCTTCATTTGTCACAGTTTCTAAAATGCCACCCATTGGAAGTTTTTTGGGCAAATAACTGATCTCATAAATTATTATTGTCCTTGGGTATAGTTACAGGTTACTTAGGAGGTAATTCTGTAAACTGCCGTAACTCAACCCTGACAATCCCCAAACCGAAATTGGTTAGTGTTCAATTTCTGTAACCAGGTCAGGGCCAGAAAGAAACCTTTAGAGACCTTAAACACTGAAAGATTATAGTGATAGTGTACATATGTAATTCCAAATTTCTTTTAAAAACGCTAAAACTTGAAATAAAAGTATTATTCTGAAATTGCACAAAACTCCAAGGTATGTTGAAATTAAACTCATTTCTTTTTAGATGTCTTCTTTTCTGATTTCATCTTGGATGTCTTGTTTTCCTGGTGTTCTAAGCACATGCTTCATTTGTCCTTTGGGTGATTCAGACTTGACGAGGGCCTTCAGCACCTTGGCAATGGGGCCCCAGCCTGCCTCTCTGCCTCCTCCCTTGCTCCTCAGCCCCAGTCCCCAACCTCCCACGCACTCTGGGCTGTTCTGGTTGCTGCCCCCTGACAAGTACTCTATGCTTTTTAACTCACTTCAGGCTGTTCCTGGAACTTAGAATTCCTTTTCCCCTTTCTTTCTCTGCCATATCTAAAAAGGCTCGCACAAATGGCACTTCCAAAATTCTTCTCGACCCTCCCACATACGAGAGGTAACTCTCTTTTTGTGCTTGTCTGGTCATAGCACTTAGCACGCTATATTATAATTAACAATTATGATTACTTTTACATTCTCTCCTGCGAATGCTTTGATGGCTAGGATGGAAGAGGGTCTTATTTATCTTTTGGCTTCTGTGCTCAATGATGGGCATTTATTATGTTCAATAATTATTCAGTGAACACAGTGGAGAGAGGGATAAATGAATGGGCGTTTTGATTAAAGCATGGGGGTTGATGAGAATGAGTAGAGCGAGAGAGCAGGAGGGATTTTAAAAGCACAGGGTTAAGAATCCTGCATAGGACCCACGGTGGTGTATTTTAGTTGCCAGAGTAGAAGCTCCATGAATGCACTAATAGCAGAAGGGATACTGCTTTCAAGCTGGATAAACTTGAATTCGAATCCTTCCATGTGGCCACTTCCTGGGTGCATGACAGTGGGCAAGTATTAATATTAACGCAAAAAAAAATGCATTCGGGTTTTGGAAAAATACTTATTCATCTCCTACTATGTGCCACACCCCGTGCTAAATGCTGGGGATATGGAGAGAACAAGGCAGGCGGAGGAGGAGGTAAACAAATGAATGTTCTACGGCACACATCCCAGTAAGAGACAAAGACAATGCTCTGTTCATACAAATAAACATTAGGAACCAAATATCATCTGGCTCCCCCGAGCCTACTAAGGGGAATCTTATTTGCACTTAAACTTTATTGGGCTTCCAATTTGCCCAAGAATCAACAACCCTCAAAGAGTTCCCCAGTTGCTGGCATGATTGTCTTCCTGGATTTAACAGTGTGTGGCTCTTTTGTGCTGCCAGTTAAATAGACATTTAAGCCTAGCTGTCTATAAAATCTAAAGAAACTTAATTTTGTCTTGTAACGAGAAAGCTCAACAGGACCTGTGTCTGAGCCAAGGGTGTAACAATTCATAAATGCCATTTATTGAGTGCTTGCTTTATTCCAGGCTAAGCTCTTTAGAGACATCTTCGCATTTTATCCGGACAAGCCTGTGAGGCAGTTTGTCAATTTGTTGGATTGCTAAAAGAGAGAATTTAGTATCAAGAGGCTAGGTGCCATCTCTGCTTCACTTTCACATCTACTTCATCTTTTTCTCTCTGCTGACCATCCTCCTGTTTCTCAAACTGTATGTTGGGGGGACTATGTCCACCCCTACACCTCCAAGTTCAAGATCAATCCAAAAAGTACAAGATTTTTCTCAGTCCCAAATCTAGAATACTAAGAGAGAGAATTCAATTGGCCTGGCTTGAGTCAGATGTCACCCCACACACCATCCCCTAAAAATACAAGCAAAGCTGCTAAGGGATGTGTGTGTGTGGGCAGGGGGAGGTGTGTTGGGGGCATTCGGGAAGCCATCGCAATTAGGAAGATACCCACATGGTTTCCAAGAGAGATAGTCATTATTATTGCCATTTTACAGTAGAAAAAAACTAAGTCATAGGTTTAGTAATGTACCCTAAATAATAGTTAAATGGCAGAACCAAGATCCAATTCCAAAAACAGAGCTCTATGTCACCCCACACACCATCCCCTAAAAATACAAACAAAGCTGCTAAGGGATGTGTGTGGGGGTGTGTGTGTGTGTAGGGGGGGTGTGTTGGGGGCATTCGGGAAGCCATCACAATTAGGAAGATACCCACATGGTTTCCAATAGAGATAGTCATTATTATTGCCATTTCACCCCACACACCATCCCCTAAAAATACAAGCAAAGCTGCTAAGGGATGTGTGTGTGTGGGCAGGGGGAGGTGTGTTGGGGGCATTCGGGAAGCCATCGCAATTAGGAAGATACCCACATGGTTTCCAAGAGAGATAGTCATTATTATTGCCATTTTACAGTAGAAAAAAACTAAGTCATAGGTTTAGTAATGTACCCTAAATAATAGTTAAATGGCAGAACCAAGATCCAATTCCAAAAACAGAGCTCTTAACCAGTACATATTACTGTCAGGCTAAGTCCAAATGCTTAGAAAATAATTTTGAGTTCTCTCTGGGGCACAAATAAATGGGCTTTTGAGGACACAGAATTCAAATTCATCTAGCATGTTTCTAATTATCAAGATTTCATTAGCAGAGCCCTGAAATGTTGATCCAGCTTTTATGTATAAGTTTTCATTTTTCCTTTTGCAGAGCATAAAGCGATGTGGAAGCACATTCATTTTATAAGAACATTCATTTTATAAGGAATTTTGACCACTAAGTATACGCCCATTCAACTTTGGTCACAATCAAGAAAGTCCCCGTATGAGTGGCAGACTGACTGGGTGTGCACCAGACTCGTTTCTTCCTCTTTCGAACACAGCTCTCAGCCTTCCCTGCAATTAGCTATGGCCATGTGACTGAGTTCTGGTCAATAGAATGTGAGCAGAAGTGATATGCACTACTTCTGGGGCAAGCCCTAACCACTCCACCCCCACCCTCTGCCAAATGCCCGCAAGGAGAACAGGCATTCTTATTATCTTCTAGTAGTTCTCTATTCCTAAAACCACAGTACCACAGGATGAGGATCTAAAATAATTTTGGTTTAACTGTTCAATTCCGGCATTCATTTAAGGAATCATGGGGTGCCTGCTTTCAAAATTATCATTCTTCTGAATAAAATTATTTTGGTGGCATTATCTAACCTGAATCATTATTCCCGTGTACGATTGCTAGTTCATTTACATTAGCACCTCCACCTCCAATAATTATTTATCCCCAATCTGTGGACCCTATCTATTTTTCATTATCCATCACCACTCATATCCTTTCTTTCTTCCTTATCCTTACCCCTTATAACAGAAGCTACCCCAAACTCAGTGGCTTAAAATAACAACCATTCTCAGTAATCTTTGAGTCAGCTAGGGGATCAACTGATCTAGGCAGGGCTCAACTGGGCAACTCTGCTAATCTTGGCTGGGCGCACTCATGTGTTTGAGGTTGGCTGATTTGACTGGAGTTGGCTGGGGGAATTTAGGTCTTCCCCATATATTTTATCTTCCTCCTTGGAATACAGACCAGCCCAGGCACTTAACATGTCAAAAATCTCACTACATTTCATTAGAAAATTCACTTTCCTACCCTCCAAGATAACTATTCCACACTTTTCTTTCTTCAAATCTCCATCTCATCTACCTCTCGCTCCAACCTCCACCATTCAAGTTTCATTGGGTATCTCTCCACATCCTTCACTGAGAAAATAGTTGCAAGTCTACTAAATTATAAATATATGGTGTGAGGCAATACATGTTTGAGGAGGGGAGTT